AATAAACTTTTATTATTATTATTATAGATAACATTATAGAATGCATCGGATTAATCATAAYTACTTTTTCTAAAGCTGATACATGGTGTTCTCCAAAATTTTCTTTAGTTATTTCTTGAACTTCTGTCTCAATTTTTTGATGTATTAAATCCATGATCACATCACCAGCTAATGATTCTAAAATGCCAATAGTGATCATGTACCTGTCAAAAAAACCAATTTAAGATACTGATGAAAACTTAGATAAAATATTCACTTAAATGGCATTAATATTATAATAATGATAGATAATATATTACTTTCTTTAAACCTATTGTTTTGTAAGTAATTAAATAAACACTATAAAAATGACTTCATTTTTCTTACATATATGTCATTAAATATTCTAGTAATTTTAAGTATTTGAGTAATTAATCTGATTAATTTTAAATCCTTAACTGAAATTATCATTAGTTGGTAATTACAAGGTGTGTTATACATAAACAGTCACATCAAATATTCTTTGAAAATGTACCAACATACTAGATATCTGGTAGTACAAAATTATTGTTCTAATTTAACCTAACCTAACCTTTATGGTTATATAACATAGAATTATGATATAATTACTTAAATTTTATAAAATAATGGTTAAGTTAGTTAAAATATAGATGTATATCATGATATATTCTACATGCTTGTCCTTAATATGCTGAAAGAATTTGATCATATTATTTGATTGATATTAATTCATAAGTAATAAATATTGCATGTATTTATTGCCAAATAAGTTGTTGTAATTTCTAAGAGTCTGTGTTGTATGAAAATTTGAATCAGTAAGATTAAATAAAGTGTATTGATATATTTAGAAAAAATAGTTTTAAGTAAAATATCAAATTATTTTTATCCAGTTGTAAGGTAAATGGATTTTAGTAAATGGTTTATACTATAGTAAATAAATATTTTATTAATATTCTTCATCAAAATCAGGCTAATTCACGCTATTGTACCAATAGTTCATTTACTTCAATAATTGATCGAATTAAATAAAGAAATAAACCATGAATATTAATATTTATAATATATATAATATAATGCTATTATTAAATTGTTTACCAATTAGTTAAATGGAATGTTTCCAATATATAATCRCATTTACAATAAATTATTTCAAAGTAGCAACCATTGCAATGAAATGCTCCTTCTTTAGATGTATTTTTTTTATCTGAAAATATTTCAATAGTTAGTAAATAATTCATAACCCTGAATAATAAATTTAAAAATGTATTATATTTAAATTATCAATGAATTTATAGTAATTTATACATATTATTACTACAAAATAGAAGAAAAAATATCTTTGATTATTTCAGAAAAAAATATTAGTAACATACCTCCAATAATATCATCTTTAGTAAAGACTTTCAATGCAACTCTATAGAATTGATAGATTATTGTATTATAATCGCTAGGAAGTTGCGAATGTAATAGAGCACAAATTTGAGCATTCAAATTTCCAAGACAATTTATTTTATTATTTTCAAATAACATCTGTAGGCGGTTTGTTGTGTCAATATATGATTGGGCTAAATTAAATAACTCATCGATTGCATATTTAAATTTATTAAAACCAACAAAATCTTCAGGTATTTCACCATGCGTAGTTGTAGTGAGATTACTTAATTCAATGACATCGTTGGGCATAAAGTAAAGCCAAAACTCATTAATTTTTGACATTAAATCTTGTTTTATTGAATACATAACCATTCCATGGACAAAATTGTTGAGTTTATTTTCAATAATAATTTTTTTTATAGCAATAAATTGTTCATCATCACATTTTTCTGAATTCTGTAAAATAAATATACTCAGTATTGTAATATAAAATTCATATTTGTTGAATATTACATATTACAAAATGTTAATTTAAAAAGGTATTAAACACCAGTTAGGTAATTGAAATTAATAAAAAATTGTTTTTGGTTCTAAATTTAAATCAAATTAAATTTAAAACTAAATTGATTGAATTAATTACAATTTACAATCATACTAACCTCCTTATCTTTTGATAATATCGGAAATGCCTGGACAATGAGATTCCAGTACGATTTTGTTGTGCTTGTATCCATTTTGTAAAGTTAGAAAGGTATACAAAATTTAAAAAACAAAAAAAAAATTGATTTCTATACAATATTAGGTAAACATTATGAATACCAAGCTACTTGTAATTTGACATTATTAACAACAGCATATAACTACTTCAATTGTAATTAAAAATTTAAATATTGCTGTTTAAAAAAATTAAATAATTAATAAACATATCTAATTTCATAACTACAAATAAATTAATAAACATAACAATTCATGTTTGAAAGTTTAAACTATATAATTTGATTTTGATAACAACCAATCTGAGCACTTGGTAAACGTTATCACCTATATCATAAAGACATAAAACTAAAAACAACACTATCATAGTAACATTGATATTTTGATGAAATGATGACCAACTGGCAACTTACTACCTCACAACAGCAGCTCAGCTGCTGCAGCACAGCATTTGAATAAAAAGTTGACTGGTGCATCTCGATTCTTCACAGAGTTTTTGCAGCGAATTTCTTAAAAGTACACCGTTTTATTTTTAAGGGGAAATCTACTAATTTACACCGGTGTACGCTGGCAAATTTCTTGACTGAAGTAGAGTTGGTTGCAGGGGCRTCCTCAAGGGGGGGCGAATGGGGCAGTCGCCCCCTCCATGACCTCTATTTTCTTTCTTAAAATTAATTAAAAGGTAAAAAACCTAGTAATTGGTGTATTTTCATATAAATATATAGGTGATGTATAAAGTTCGCCCCCCCCCCCTATGAAAGGGTCTAGGGACGCCACTGGTTGGTTGCAGCACAGAATAAATAATACATTAATATAT